TATTTCAGCCCTGCTACTGGATTTAAAATTGGGTCCGCTTCATATGACCATATCGGCATGTCGAGAATTTGCATTGTGCAGATCTAGGCAGAGTTCAACATCTGAAAAAAGTGCTTGCGTCATCACATACCCATAATTCCTTCTACTTATGCCATGGCCGGTCAGCAGTTCACCGTACAGTTCTGCTCATCCTCACATTTTCAGCATGCCACGTTAATCATGTGAAGAAAGACAGGTGTCCAGCTGAACTTGCTTCTGGACATCCTAGTCTGCAGAATCAACAATGTGGAGGTGAAGATGGCCAGACGATGCCAGAATGGAGAACGGCCAACAACAAGCCCCCACCCCTGCCCTGCTACCACCACACAAGAGTAATTATAATGGAGTTTTGGCAATGGAGCTGCAACAGCATCTCTATAGCTGGGAGGGAGCTGAGCGGAAGAGCAGTTCAGGCAGAAGAGCTGAAAGGCAGCAATCCAGGAACGGAATGAGAAAGTTTTTATTGCAGACAGCATGCAAAGTCTTCCAGATAGGATTCACGGAGTGTCAGTCAATTAGGCGGGAGAGGCTGCTTCAGTTGTGGGGGCCGTGTGGGAAAGCATTCATATGACTAAATGAATAGCTTTCCCCAGAAGGCATGGGGAAACACATGAATCGATGCTGTCTCTTTAAATCCCTCCCTGGAGTGGCGGATGAGCAGCCCTTGATCTATACCTCTCTCTCTCTTTCATCTTGCTCAATCATTAAAACCAAAGGGAGTGAATAAACACACCGAGACATTCTCTGGGAAAAGTGATCAGCCCCAGAGCTCTGCCTTGCCTCTGTTATACATGCAGAATGTGCATGCACAGGTCACAGAACGCCATCCAAAGTCCCACTAGATCCGTGCTGTCTTACTGAAGCATGAGATCCATACCCAAATGCAGCAGACAGTAGAGCAGATGCAGATTTGCTGTTTCTCGTGCCATTTTCCTCTGACTGAACGGGTAGCTTCTACAGTGCTGTTTGCATGATGTGGCATATAGGCAGTGGTGTGGGGGTCAGTTTCGAAGCACGGTTGCTTATTGTGGCAGTAGCCATAAACATGACCCCAAGGAGACCCCCAAAATGCAGGCAAGTGTATGAATCCATTTCTGTGTGTGAGCACATTTTATAAAGTGCATGGGTCTTAATTATGCATTCAAGACCAAGCCAGCCCAAAATTCTTTGCATTGTAAAAGCGATAGCTCATAAAAATGTACTGTTGCTGAAAAAATCTGTTTCTGCACCAGCTTCTGTGAATTTTGCAGCTCATAAGCATATTGGGAACAAGGAAACCCAGGGGAGAAGTGGCAGATGACATGCTGGCATTTCTACCGTCAGTCCTGGCTGCACTACATCACATGCATAGAATGAGCTCTGTATATACAAAGTATGCGTGCCTAGATTCTGTACAGCTGCGTAACTGCATAAAGATTAGAGGCAAGGGCAAGAGGTGTGGTATCCATCCCTTGCCCTGGCTCATTTCTATGTGCTATGTCATCTCAACAGGGGCTGTAAAGTTTAAATGACAGGACTTTGATTTTCTCCGCTTGCCTATCCCATTCATATGGGATGGGATATATTCTATGCACAAAGGCGGGGTGTATTCTTTGCGTGAAAAGGAGCGATGCAAGGCAAAGGAGCAACAGTTATAGGGCAAGATGGAAGGGTTACCATTCTCTTTTGCCAGGCATGAAACTGGAAATAGGCATTATTAAGGGCTAGATCTTTAAAAATGCTCAGTTGTTCATTGTATTTATTCCTTCATTACATTGATGAGTTGTTTTATTGCAGAGAGAGAGAGAGAGAGAGAGAGAGAGAGAGAGAGAGAGAGAGAGAGAGCGCGCGCGCGCGCGCGCGCGCGCGCAGTGTGAAAAAACTTCCAAACTTCAAATGGCCTGTACACGGCTTTACTTTAATCAAATACTAAAATCAGGATGCATGCACAGCCACACCCACATTAATTAATACAACAGAACAAACACAAGAGTGAGCACATAGGACTAAAATGCTAACATATACAGAGTACAGCATTTGCATTAGTAATATAGTTTACTTTAGTAATATCAGCTGAATTAAAATAACCTAAACATTAAGAGAATATAAGCTTTAAAAATCTGGAAGAATATTTCTTTTAGGCCTGCTGCTGAAAAGATGTTAGTGTTGATGTCACATGAGCCTCAAAGGGGTAAACATTTCATGCTCGCATTGTAGGGCCAGAGATGGGAGAGGGGAGGTCACAGTGGAGATGGTCCTTCTTTCCATGCTGGCTGCAGCTCCAAGGTCGCAAGACCAACCTCTGAGCCAGCATTGGAGGGGCAGGAGGGGAGAAGCGGGGCACCGCATCCTGAGAGGAATCCCAGCAGTGCTCTCAGCTTTTCTCTGCCTGAGCCAGTGTAAAACACATGGACTGCTGTCTAAATGTTGTGGAGCAGGGAGGAGTGCAAAGGCATTTTTCTTCTTTGGACTCCTTCCACCCTTCACTGGATATCTGTGATCCTCTGAGTTCAGATATAGGCAGCCACACTGGATGGCATGGCCCACAACATTAATGTGGTTTAATATAGTAAAAGTTATTTGCCAGCCCATTTTAAGTTCTCCAAAGACTGGAAATTGCCTGGCCCAAAGCTGCCCTGACTTGCTGTGATATTAGCGCAGCTAAGGCAATAGCAGCCGGAAGGACCAGGTTGCCCCTGCTTTCAAAAGTTTGCTAGGACAATAAAATATATCAGGCAGTGACATCAGACCAGTGCCTCTCAAGTGGAGACTTTTGCTAGCAAGTATAACAGGTTTGTCTACTTTTTAATGCATCATCTGTTACCCAGTGTGATTCTTCTTGAAACAGAGCCAGAATCTCCCACTTTGAAGTTTCCTAGAAACTAGTTGAAGTTACCACATCTCATGGAGATATTTTCATCCTACCAGGATATGGAGTATTGATTACTACCTGTAGTGATGTTGCTGAAATCCTATTTCCTCGCTTGGAAATGTGAACTTGAAAGTTTGTGATGTTCACTGCGTATGTGAGGCAAGCATAATGTCTCCAAAAGTTATTCTCTAGTTTGGATATTAATTTGTGCTGGAGAAGTAAAGACCTGCCACTAGGAGCACTACAACGGAGGGAGGATGGGAGAGAGGCTTACTTGCTCCCTCCCAGTTTCTACACCTGGTACAAACAGGTGCTTCTACAGGTGTCAGTTGCCCTGGGAAACCATAGATCTCAGTGCTTTGGGTGCTTAGCATGCAGATGGTCGTGTCCCCGGTATCAGAAAGGGGAATGAGCAAAGGAAATTCCTTCCCTTTTTCAATTCCACTGTTGCCATTGTCATGGGGAGAGCAGAGGGAAGCTGTCCCTGTCACATCCCATGGCATCTGTGGGGGTGAGCTATTTTCTGCAGAGTTCTTCAAACCACTTTGATTCTTCAAGCCCAGTAATGAACCTGACTGGGGGAGTTTGCCCCATGACCATGTTTCTCATGCTCACTCATGATGCCTAAAGCAAATATTGGAGCTACTTGTCCCCTGTCACGGATTGTGTTGCTGGTTTTTTCACATTCTAGATACAGTTTGCATTTATGTATTTATTATTCTATCACACACAGTTATGCAATTATTTCATCACAGTATCTGTTCACAATATATGTAATGCAGTACTATTGTGTAATATAGTATAAAATATATTCCTAGAAAGATAAGCCAGCAGGGTTCCTCTTATATTTAATACATAACAAAGGCTAATATTTTGCTGGGAATCACTTTCTCATCCTGTGCTATTTTGTACTAGAACAAACAGTGTCCTAGGGACCAGCGCTGTCCACGTTGTGCTTCTGGTGTTTACTTGGGTAGATACAAATAACTATCATCAGCCTGGGATGTTTACGAAAAGCAGCGGGGCTGGCCAGCTACTCCCAGTGTAACTGCACCATGTCCACTAAACCCTGTGATTAGAGCCATTGTTCCACAGAGACAAATGAGCTGCCTGGGCCCACACAGTGCAGCGTGCTTCTCCCTTTGCATGGCATTGGCCACTTCTCTCTGCCTGCCGGTCAGATGTTTCGCCAATGCATTTAAGGTGGTGCAAGAAGGAAAGGGTAGGAAAGGGGTGGGGTGGAAAAGGAGAAATGTTACCTTCTTTCTTTGCTCTCCAGTTATCAGAGCAATCCTTTATTACAGCAATCCACATATATGGAGCTTTCAAAAGACTTAGCTTGTGAAACCTAAGTCATTCATATATTTCTATCAGACCTGTGTTCTTTATGAAATCTTCCTTTCCTTTGTCCAAGTTTCTCATATATTTCCCATTCATCTGCAAAGGGGATGGGTGAACGGAGAGCCCTGTGATATTACATGGAAGTGATTCCAATATTAGTGGCTGAGCTTTCCAAGTGAGGAAGGGCTTATCCTGAGGTAATCAATATTTCCACGCCCTTGAGTGGAATATTGTAGCCATTTCCTGGAATACCATAGTCATTTTCATTCTGTCCATGAGCCCCAGACAGTATAGCCAGTGGTCAGAGATTATAGGACCACTTGTCCCAAACACCTGGAAGCACCAGGTTGCCAACCCTTTTTACTGAATAACCACAATGCCACTGCCTTGCTGGGCAAAGAGACAGGGGTAAAAGTAACAGGAGCCAAATAACAGCTGCACTGCAGTCTCATGAGAGAGCTCTCTGTGGCTTTTCTACCAGAAAGATGAACTTGGATAGCTCTCTGTGTGAACTTGAACCTGCTTTTCTTGGAAATATTTCTGCCAGTGTTGCATAATCTGTGATAGCATAGAACCCTGTTCTCCCAGAACAAATGGACTATGGAGTGTCATTTTTTGTGGTGCAGTATTCAGCAGTGCTGTATTTTTCAGTGGATGGTTTTGTATCTCAAAAAGTGCCTGTACTCTGAAATCTTATTTGCAGGAAAATGTATATTGCATTGTGTTGAGGGTTGGTTTTTGAATGCTCTCTCTCTCTTTATAATTATAGGATGTTACAGAACAATCAACTCAGTCGGATCCCAGCAGAGGCTCTGTGGGATCTTCCAAACCTTCAGTCACTGTAAGTCCTTTCAGATTGTCATTGCTAACTGTGGCATCTTTTAAGCAAGTGGTTTCAACAGTTGGGTAAAAATGCAGCAGTGTTTCCATAGGAAGCTTAAGTGCAGAGTTTTCTAGACGGGGAGTAGTAAAACAATATCATACTGTACACAAGAGATGAATAATGTGACCTCTTCAGAACAATAGTCACTGATATTGATTTGTTTCTCTGCTTATTTTCTAAATTTGTACTTATGGCTTCTTATACCATGGTATTCCCAGAGCAGTTTAGATTAGAATAAGAACAGAACTAAAAAAGCAGTGCATTAAAGTAAGTGCAGAAAAAAATCACAATTCATAGTATGATAAAACATACATAGTACAATAAATGGTCCTGCTTCAAAAGGAAAGCATCAGCTCAGAAGAACCAGAAGCCAACAAAGTTATGATTGGTCCAACCCGACTGGGCACTGGCAGGTCTCTTGGGCACCTTTGTGGTAAAATCAGTGCTCCGTGGTCTGTGGAATTAGCACTGCATCACCAGCTTTTCCGTCACTGGTCCATTGTTGCTACCACTCTAGCTCCCCCCTGCCCCCCAGCCCCATTCACTTCATGACCAGGGCATATTTATGTTTTCTTCCACTTGCCGTTTTCTCCCAGCTGATTCTTACAACTCCTTCTTAACCCAACAGCCTGTTCAAGCATCCTGCAGACTTCTCTCAGTTCATGCCAATCCACTGGCAAGTTTTGCTTTGCTCAGTCATCAGCTACAGCCAGGCCTTGGCAACACTGACTGTTGGACAGTCAGAGCCTAGCAACAGTAATCCATGCTCTGGACAGTAACCTCCCACTTGGACTATTGCAATGTGCTCTCCTTGAAAATGGTCCGGATACTTCAACTGGTACAAGATAGAGCAGCTAGGCTGCTGACTCAGACTGGTAGACGAGATCTTATAACACCAATCCTTTATCATCTCCACTGGTTACCAATGGCCTCAATTTAAAGTGTTAACACTGACATATAAAGCCCCAAATGGTTTAGGGCCTGGATATCTGAAGGAATGTGTCTTCCCATATATGTATGCCCAGACCCTAAGATCATCTGCAGAAGTCCTTCCCCGGGAGCCATCTTTGAAAGAGGCCAACAAGGTTGCTCCCAGGAGAAGGGCCTTCTCAGTGGTAGTGCCCTGACTGTGGAATCTGCTTCCCAGAAAGGTACACCTGGCACCAACTCTTTTCTGTACCAGGCTAAAACATTATTATTTTCCAAGAATTTTAACATCTGATTGGTTTTACTATATATTCTGCATGTTCTATACTGCTCTTTGATTGAAAGGCTGTTGTGTTGTTATCATTATTATGCTTTTTGTAAACTATTTTGAGATTTCATTGGAATGTTAGATGGGATATAACTTTTTAAAACAAATAAACAAACACTGACCAATTCCTCTCTGAGCCCTTCCCTTCCATCTCTCCCAAAAGCCTCAGCTGTACTCAAACATCCCCACCCGCTACTAGAAAGGCCCCGTTCATTACCCAGTGTCCCATTTGTATCTCCAGCTACCTTCCCCTCATTGTCCTCTCCCTCGCATGCCTGCCCCTCCTCTCCCATTTGTGGCCTTTCCTCCCTACCCAAACATTCAGTGAACTACCATTCAAAGAAATGTGCCTTTGTTGATTAAAAAGTGATTAAAAGCAATCTTTCTACTTCTGCTGGGAAGTCCAATGTTCCTTTTGAGTGTATTAAGTAAAGGATGGGTGGAGAAATAGGACTTATGGGGAAAGCACCACCTGCACACAAGGTACCTGTCCCGGTCAGTTGCTCCACTGAGGCTCCTGTACACCTGAATTCGTTATTTGTTTTTCGATGCCAAGCAAAGACCTTTTTATTCAAGCAGCTTTTTAAATGTTAATATTATTGAATTTTTCTGGCCAGGGCGGCTTATTTTATATTGTATATTTGTAATTTATTTTAATGTATATATTTTAAAATGTTATGATGATTTAACTTATTTGTTGTAAGCCGCCCCGAGGCTTCGGCGAATGGGGCGGCATAAAAATGTTTTAATAAATAAATAAATAAATAAAAATAATTCCTGGGAGCATTCCTCCGAGGCCACCACCTGCATGTCCCAGAGCAACTGGTAGCCCTCCACAGACCAGAACTGGTTCTGAAGAAGGGCTTGCTCTGCCCCCCTCATCTGGCATTTACCAGCCTGAGAAAGGCAGCTGTGCTAATGCTGAAAATAGGTTGATGTTGGTGATAATTCAGAATCAATTGACTTGAAGGAAGAGGGAAAGGATGATGGGAGCAGCAGTCAAAGGGGGACCATGGGGACTGTGTTGTCTATCAGTCAAAGCATGAGAACCATTGTGGGAGCAGGTATGGAGCAAGTGCTCTCAGTCCTCCTGTAGAATCCCAACATTTCTGGTGAAGTGCAGAAATGTTGGGATTCTGCAGGAGGACTAAGAACGTCTGGGTCCATCTCCACAAAAACAGGGTGCTACAGTTTTTCACTGCTCTTTCCATGTGATTTCCTAGCAGATTGCCTTGAGGCATAAGGATAACAGCCTCTGGGTTCAGACCACACACTATCCTACAATAGAGAGTTAAGCAAACTCTACAATAAGCCACGACTTTATAGCCCAGACAAATCGCCCTGCTGGAAACATGCTTGGTTTGGACACTATGCTATACCACGGAGGCCTCACAACTAGTATGGCTTAGCACATTGTGCAAACCCAGTGAATGTGTCACCAGCCACATGGAATTCTCATTTTGTTTTCAATGTAGGTGCCATCCATGGGACAGAAGCAAAGCCATCTTCCCAATTGCTAGAGCCCCAGATTTCTGAACCATATTTCAGTTGCCGTCTTCTCGGCACCTACTAGACTTTCTCTGTTGTTTCTCAGCAAGGAGGAGCAAATCCTCCCTGATTTTCCAACACAGGCTCTTATTTAGTTTTCACAGTCTTTAGTTGAGAGATCTTCTAAGCATCAGTTCCAGAATACACATCTAGCATCTAACTGCACATGGGGCTAGGATCGTAATGGGAGTCAGGAGTCTTTCCAGGATACTTAATTAGACTAGTCAACCCTTTCAGGACTGGATCGACAACAGTAAAAAAATCCATTGTCTAGAAGTACCTGTCACAGTCACGCCCAGATGAAATTGCTCTTTAATGCTGTTCTTCAATAACTCTAACGTATAACTCTCTGATGTGCCATAAGAGGCCAAGAGAGAATGCTTACAGACAGTGTTATCTTTGGAATGAATAAATATGATCTTCAGAGATTTTTAGGATAATTTTCATAATGACAGATCTCTTGCCTGGTTCCATGTCAAGTCATTATGCAATACTACTTATTATCCAATCCCTCTGCAATTCCTGTTTCAAGCAGCTCTCTTCATAATTTCTTTTTCCACACACACCTGTGTGGTTAAAACCATCTAATTTAGAGGTTACTCTACATTTCACCCATGAGACCTCTGCATCTCCAAGGAAGGCTGGATAATTAGGAAACTCAGTGAATTAGTTTTTGAGGCACTTTGATCTCTGAATGGGACTCAGGTTTGTTTCTGGAACAGCCTTCACAAAGCTACTCGTGATAGGTACTTATGGAGGAAATCTCATTCAGATTCTTGTATGATCTCTTCCTTGGTGTGGTCTGGACAGTATCCAGCCTTATGAAGCACCTACTTTCCCTCTCAACAATTAGCTACAATGTGTTCACTGGAACTGAATAATCAATTTTGAGTGGGGACAAGCAAAGGTCCTTTAATTTCTCCCAGTGAAGTTAACTGTCTGCCTTGCCCCTTCTATGTGAAAGTGGGGCAGTCTTCCACAAGACTCCAAAGCATAGTTTTCTGTGCAATAACAAACACACTTGGTTTTGTTCTCTCATTTTTGCTTCCACTTCATAGAGGACTGGGGTAGATATCCTTTGGAGAAGCCAGTTTCACACTGGCTTTTTTGTAGAAAAAAATACAATAATTTTCATTTTGTAGGAAAAAATATAGATCATATTTTGTAGGAAAATGCCGCTGCAATATACAGATTGTGGAAAATGCCTAACTTTCAGAAGCAAAAGCCTTGCCATCCTGGTGTGAGAGAAAGAGATAACATTCGTCTTTTCAAGGTATTGCATTTTCAGTATCTGGTGTTGTCCTGAACTGCAGGATGGCAATACTGACCCTTTAAAAATTAAGAACACTTCATACTTTGAGACCCTCCTGATGAGCACCGTTGAGTGACAAATGGTGACAACAGTGAAGAAGTGTGTTGAGGCAAATGATTTTCTTCAATGGATCTTGAGTCAAATACCAAAGGTTGCTCAATCACAGTGGTTGAAGTCTGACTTTCCACTTCTAATGTCACTAATGGCACTGAGGCTCAGGCATCTCAGTGCAGTGGGATCTGTGGGCTCCCTGAGTCATCTCGAGCTTACCATCCCTCCCTACCTGCGTGTTACGTTAGAGTTCGTAAATGAGAGTACATGTCACATCGGCAATCCTTTTTTTTTTTTTAATAGCATGAGCTTAGGGTAGAACAACCAGCACACATTATTGGAATGTCTCTAAGTGCTCAACCTGAGCTGTCCTATGGTTTCACTGAGGTTCAGTCTATGATCCACCCTTCCAAGCATAAAGCCACAGATATTCCTGGCATCACGGGATTTTTTCAAGCCACCCATGCATGCCACACACTGGTCTGAACAGGAGCCCACAGATCCTAGTGGAAAGCAGCTAGTGGGTGAATTGCTCTGTCAAAGTTCAAGATGAGAGTGAAGCTTTGTGTGCTTCAGTCTAGAGGTCCTCTTCCTCCCTACCAGTGGAAGCTTTAAAGTCCTCTGATTTGCAGTCAGCACTCTTCCATCATTCACGCCAGGTGTGCTGCTGGCACTGGGGCATTGGCTCCATGGAATGTGCCGGCCCGATGTTGGAGGTGGGCTTGGAGCACACAGATATTGGTCCAGAGTCCAGACTCAAGAGGCTTCTGACATTTGAGAGCATCTGGTTCT